GGGCAGCACTTGGGGCTATCTACTTCTCCCCCACCTGGGGGCTTACCCTCTTGGACCCCGCCTGCTGACCTCAGGTAGCTCTTCCTTGCATCTGCCCTCCACCCTTCCTCTCTTTAGGGCCTGATCCAACATCCTGGGTGAGTCTTTAAAGGGCTAGCATCCCAACCTGGCCCTGCAGAGGCTGAGACCTTATGACCTACACAGGTGCAGGCCCCAGCCAGGCAGATTGAGGGCTCAGTGAGGTGTCTGTCTCCTGTGGCCCTTGGTCCTCTCTTGCCTCTCGGACATTAGGGAGCCCAGTGTTGGTCCAGGTGACTGTTGTTACAGGTTCCCTAGTCTGGGGAATTTTTTTAAATTATATTTTTAATTTTAAAGATTTTTTTTTTTATTGGTGCATTATAATTATACATGACCGTGGGCTTCATTGCTGCGGGTTTGTACAAACACACAACATAATTTGGTCAATTGCATTCCCTAGTTCCTCCTTTTCCCCTCCCTAGGCTGGGGAATTTTAGATGGAGCTGCTCCCTGGAGCCCTGGACAAGGGACTGAGGGTGGCTGTGTTTGGTCAAGCCCTCCCCCTTCGTTCAGCTTTGTTTGTGCAGGGTGGCAAAAATCATCTGGTTTGTTGGCTGGGCCTGGTCCAGACCTCCTGCTGAATTCCTTTTCTGTGCAGTCACTGCAGACTGGTGTGGGGGTGCGGGAGCTGTCCTGGGGGGCAGAGCTCACTCCCTCTGACCTTTTCTGCTGTTCCTCCTGTCTCAGTCCAGTGCCTTGAGGGGCAGTTACAAGCTCAGAGAGGTGTGGGAAGGGGTCAGCAGCAGCATTTGGGCTGTGCGTGAAGCCCAACTTAGACCTGGGTGCTGAGCGCATGTCCTCCTCTGTGACCCTGTCCCTCTGAGCCTCCCAGGACAAGCTTATTCCTGAGGGCCCGTCACACTCTGGCATTTGAGGATTTTCTAAATCCACGGCCTTTTAGAGCCGGCCTGTGGGATGAGATTGAAGCAGAAAAGCAGAAAGATGCAGACCATTGGGAGGTCTGAAGATTCCCACCCTGAAGCACTTCTCATGAGTCTCACTCTGTGGGGACCTGCCGGTCAGGAGCTGGGCACTCTGTAGCCATATGGAGCCAGGTGTGAACCCAGCTCTACTCCTCTTCTGGCTCTGTGATGTTGGGCAGCTCACTTTACCTCTCTGAACCTTGGTTTTCTTATCATTAAAACATGCATAGTAACACATTTGTACCTGATTGGATTGTTGGGAGAATTAAATACTATGTGTAGAGGGACACAGTCTGTGCCCAATAAAACTTAGCTGCTGTCATTGCCATTGGGTCATAAGAAATATTGGTGGAACTTGATTATCCTGACCTTGTCCTATGATTTGAATTTGTGAATGTGTGCAAGGGTTGTCAGGCTGGAAGGAGAAAGCTTTCATATCTGTGTGGTGCTGGGGGCGCGGAGACACACCTAGTGGTGGAAGTGAGTGGCAGTTTATTACCGAAGAATGTACACGGGTGGACGGCACCTCCCTAGGGTAGGGAACCCATGTCAAGGGGTGTGTTTTGGGAGATGCAGAAATTGTGAGGGAATTGGACCCTGTGCTGGTTGCCACTGAGATTCTGTGAAACTCTTCTTCCCCATAACTCTGGGATCCCCTGCTGTGGTATCCTAGCAAAGGCAAATCTTCTTTGCTAGAAGCACATCTGACCCCTTTCAGGGAGTAGAGTAGGGTCACCAATTGCCAGCTCTTCCCAGGGTGGCATGAGCCCTCTGCTCTGTCCACCCGGGCTTGATGACTTTAAGCCCTTGGTATTCATGACTTCATGTGACCTTCCAACACTGACATCAAGTGCTTTCACCCCCCTTCTCAGTTACAGAGACTGTGRCTCTGAGATGCAGGAGCCTGCTTAGGTCACACAGCTAGCAAATGGCTTGGATTCAGGCAGGAGGTCTGGGTTCCAAGCAGAGCAGGAACAGACCCTGCATGGGCAGAGCAGCCTCTCATGGCCCCTGTGTGGCTGGTGTCCCCCACTACAGCTCCCCAGGGGGCATCCTAGCTGGACCTTGTTTTCTTTCTTTTTTTGTGGTCTCAGAGATTAAACCCATGGGCCCTCTTACCATGGAGTTAAATCCCAGCCCTCTGGTTTTCTGAAACAGGGTTTTGCTTAGATGCTCAGGTTGGCGTCAGACTTGCGATTCTCCTGCCTCTGCCTCCTGAGTAGCTGGAATTACAATTACAGGCATGAGCCACTGAGCCTGGTTTTAACCTTTCATTTTTTTTTTTTTTTTTTTGCTGGAAGTGGGGTACTGGGGATTGAACTCCGGGGCACTCAACCATTGAGCCACATCCTCAGCCCTATTTTGTATTTTATTTAGAGACAGGGTCTCACTGAGTTCCTTAGTGCCTTGCAGTTGCTGAGGCTGGCTTTGAACTCGTAATTCTCTTGCCTCAGACTCCTGAGCCACTGGGATTACAGGCGTACACCACTGCATCCTTCATTAAAAAAAATATATTTATTTATTTTTATGTGGTGCTAAGGATCGAACCCAGTACCTCACATGCAAGGCAAGTACTCTATCAATCACTGAGCTACGGCCCCCGCTCTAGCCCTTCATTTTTTACTGATGAGGTGACACAATAGGAGAGAAGTCCTCCCAGGGGCCGCAGGTGTCGTGGGCAGGTGGGGTGGGCTGTGTGTGTTCACAGTGTCCAACAAGTGGGGGAGATCCAGGCCTTAAGGGAAGCAGGGAAGAAGGAGTTGGGGCCTCAAAGCCTGTGGCTGCTTGGCCTGGACCCAGTGAAACCAGCATAGATCCTCTATTGGCCTCCCCCTTGACTCCAGAGTCAGAGGCTCTACCCTGGGCTACTCTCTGGACCTCAGTTTCCCCATCTATAAAATGGAGTGGCAGTGAAGTAGCTCTTCTCTAAGGGCCCTTGCAGCCCCAAGAGTCCTGGAATTCTGAGCCAGGCTGGCAGGGTGCCTAGAAAGACTGTCCCTGGAGACCCACTCAGCACGTCATGGCCAGCACTAATGAGGGCAAGTGGGAGGGAGGGCAGGGTCACATTCCTCAAGAACTAATTAGCTTCCCACAGTATCGGGGAAAGGGGTGACAGAGGAAGGAATTTTCTCAGCCATTGACAAAGCCCATGACCCTGGCCACAGGCTGATCCATCCATCTGTCCGTCGGTTCATTTGTTCATGTGTCCATTTGTTCGTGCGTTGTTCAACAAGCACAAATTGAGCACTGACTGGATACCAAGTGGGCACTGGGGAGAGAAAGAGAAATGGTTGCCCACAGTGAGCCTGATCCCTGACCTCAGCCCCAGACTGGACCTGCACCCCGCACTGATCTGTCCCCCTCCTGCTTTCCCAAGGGACTTCGAGCGTGGGCTGTGAACTGATTCCAGCTTTGCCACCCTTAGCTGTGTGACCTTGGTGTCAGTTACTTACAAGTCTCCGAACCTTGGTTTTCTGTTCTGCAAAACAGGGGCAACTAACGTTTGTCTCGTGGTGGGCAAATGAAAGGATGCAATGTTTTAGTGAGGTCCCTGCTAAATTAGCCTGATTTAATACTTTTCTAGTGTTAAAATATGTGAATTTTTAAATGACCATTGAGATAAAAACAGGAAGTAACCCTGGAAGGACATAGAAGAAACAGACGACAGTGGCTCTGTGATTGTGATGTGGAGTAATCAGGAACGGATGCTTTTCACTGAAGACCATTTTTATGTCTTTATTTTTATAAATGAAATGTGAATGTATCACCTATTCTATAAAGAAATGTTAGTGGCAACTCTATAAGATCAAAGAAAATTACCATGAGCTTGAAAGTGTAAAGGAACCTAAGAAAGGGACATAGAGTCGGGGGTGATGGCATACACCCATAATCCCAGTGACTGAGGAGGCTGAGGCAGGAGGATCCCAARTTCAAAGCCAGTCTGGAAACTTAGGGAGACACTTTCTTAAAGTAAAATATAAAAAAGAGCTAGGGGTGTAGCTCAGTGGTAGAGCACTCCTGTGTTCAATCTCCTGTGCTCTAGTACTGAAAAAAGAGAGAGAAAGAGAGGGAGGGACAACGGCACATAGAAAATACTCCTGGGGCTCTTTTGTACGGGTCAGCAATCTTTTAAAAATATGTTTTAGTTGTCAATGGATTTGTATTTTATTTATTTATATACAGTGCTGAGAATTGAACCCAGTGCCTCACACATGCTAGGCAAGTGCTCTGCCACTGAGCCACAACCCCAGCCCTACTGTCAGCAATCTTACTCTGGGCCCACTTTAGGCCAGGCACCACACTAGGGGCCAGGGTTAGAAAGATAAACGAGTTGGGCAAGGCCATCATCTCCTGGCAGCTAAGCTCTAGGTGAGGAGACCGTGATAATCAAGGAAATACATAGAAGACCATTTCAAATTGTGGTGAATGCTAGGAACAAAATAAAGCAGAGAGATGGGATAGGAGAATGGAAGGCCTCTCCAGAGAGGTGGCATCCAAACCGAGACCTGAGTAGCAAGAAGGAACCATCAGGGAGTGTCATCTAGGGAGAGATCTTATTGCAAGCCGAGGGAACAGCATGAACAAAGGCTCTGGGGCAGGACCACTCATGTCATTTTCAAGGGACAAAAAGAAAGCAGCAGAGTGTGGAGAGGAGAAGGTGGTGGAGGAGGCATCAGTGCTCAATGGGGTCTTGACTTCTAGAGCAAAGTGTTCAGGCTCAGTTTGGTGATGTGCTGCATCAACAGATTTTGGGGGCAATCCAAATGGAGGGACAGTTAACACTGAAAAGGAAATCACGGCAGGCTTCCCCAAGGTGGTCCTGTTTAAGTTGGGTCATGTATCTTCAATTGGGTCATGAGCTGGTTCTAGGAAACTGTGAGTAAAGATCAAATTCTAGAGGAAAAGTCATGTGTAGGAGGGCGTGGATGACCACCTGTCTGCATGCCCCTGTGGCGCTGCATTCCCATTTCCTAACCGGGCCTCTGTTCCTCCCTGCAGCACTGGGCCGGAGCACTAGCTTCACTGAGAAGGATCTGAAAGAGGCCAAGGCGCTGAGCCAGCAGATTGCAGCCCAGCTGACCACCCCTCCCAGCTCCAATTCCCGAGGTGTCCAGCTCTTCAACAGGCGACGGCAGAGAGTGAACGAGTTCACTTTGGAAAGCCACGGTCAGAGGGTACAGAAGCCTGGCCAGGAGTCCCCCAGAGAGCCCTCTGCAAGCCCCCCAGGCCATGCCCCAGGTCTCAACTTGAGTTCCACCTTGCTGCCCAAGCCAGGCCCTTCCAGGCACCCAGACCCCGAGACCCGCCACAGAGGGGTCTCTGCACCCAGGATGGAGGGGTACTCAGAAGAGACCAGCTTGCTGCAGCACCTGGAGAAGATGGCCAGTGAGGAGGAAGAGGTACCACTGGTGGTTTATTTAAAGGAGAACGCAGCCCTGTTGACGGCCAATGGGCTTCATCTGTCCCAGAACCGAGAGACCCAAGAGTCCTCGCCCAGCCCTCCTCCAGCTGAAGTCCACAGCCCAGCTACAGATGTCAACCAAAACCTTTCCTCGCCCAGTGCCGCGCTCACCACACCAGCTCCTAACAGCAACCGCAACCTGCCAGCCACCGATGTCAATCAGAACCCCCCAGCAACCGTCACCCCCCAGAGCCTGCCGAGTTCTAGCACCCAACAGAATTCCCCTGAGGCACAGTGCTCACAGAATGGCACGGTGCCAGATTCCAAACCCAGCACCCTGTGCGCCGATGGGCAGCCCCAGGCACCGCTGGAGGAGGTGAGATCCGGTATGCTCCTGATTGACAAGGTCTCGACTCCGCCTTCTGCCACCAGCACCTGCTCCAGAGAAGTTACTCCCATCCAGGGCTCTGGGCCGCTGACCTCAGATTTCATGTCCAGCTCCCTGCTCATCGATGTGCAGCCCAGCACCCTAGTGATGTCAACGGAACAAGAGATGACTGCACGGCCAGCAGCCACTACACCCACCAAGGTGTACAGCGAGGTCCATCTCACGCTGGCCAAGCCCCAGTCGGTGGTGAACAGGACGGCCAGGCCTTTTGGGATCCAGGCACCAGGGGGCACTAACCAAATAGAGCGGAGCCCCATGCTGGAGAGACGACACTTTGGGGAGAAGGCCCCTGCTCCCCAGCACCCCACCATGGTAGATAGGAGTCCCCGGCCACAGAGACATGTCATGTCCCACAGCCCCATGGTGGAAAGGAGGCTGGTGGGGCAGCGAAGCCCGGCCTTGGAGAGACGCCCCTTAGGGAACTTCACCCCACCGCCCACCTATGCAGAGACCTTGTCCGCCGCACCCCCGGCTTCCCGGGTTAGGTCTCCCCCGTCTTATTCTGCCCTGTACCCTAGCTCCGACCCCAAGCCTTCTCATCTGAAGGGCCAGGCGGTTCCCGCCAGCAAGACGGGCATTTTGGAGGAGTCAATGATCCGCAGAGGCAGTCGAAAATCCATGTTCACCTTTGTGGAGAAGCCAAAGGTCACCCCCAATCCAGACCTGCTGGACCTGGTACAGACCGCGGATGAGAAGCGGAGGCAGAGGGACCAAGGCGAGGCCGGCGTGGAGGAGGAGCCCTTCGCGCTGGGGGCCGAGGCGTCCAACTTCCAGCAGGAGCCAGTCCCTCGGGACAGGGGCAGCCCTGCAGCCGCGGAGGAGGCTGTCCCCGAGTGGGCTTCCTGCCTCAAGTCGCCCCGTATCCAGGCCAAGCCCAAGCCCAAACCCAACCAGAACCTCTCGGAGGCCTCTGGGAAGGGGGCTGAGCTTTACGCCCGCCGCCAGTCGCGGATGGAGAAGTATGTCATTGAGTCTTCAGGCCACACTGAGCTGGCCCGCTGCCCTTCACCCACCATGTCCCTGCCTTCCTCCTGGAAATACTCCACGAATGCCCCCGGCTTCCGAGTGGCATCCCTAAGCCCAGCGCGGACGCCCCCTGCCTCCCTCTACCATGGCTACCTGCCTGAGAATGGGGTCCTACGCCCAGAGCCCACCAAGCAGCAGCCCCCATACCAGATGCGGCCCTCTCTCTTTGTCCTCTCACCCATCAAGGAACCTGCCAAGGCCTCCCCTCGAGCTGCCTCATCAAGAGCTGCCTCCTCAAGAGCCTCTTCACCAAGAGCCACCTCCCCTGCCAAGCCCTGCTCCCTGGACCTAGTGCCCAACCTGCCCAAGGCGGGTCTCCCACCGTCTCCTGCACTGCCTCGGCCTTCGCGATCCTCCCCAGGCCTCTACACCTCACCTGGCCAGGACGGCCTCCAGCCCACTGCCGTGAGCCCCACCTACAGCAGCGACATCTCCCCCGTGTCTCCCTCCCGGGCATGGTCTCCCCGCGCCAAGCAGGCTCCCAGGCCCTCCTTCTCTACCCGGAACGCAGGGATCGAGGCTCAGGTGTGGAAGCCTTCCTTCTGCTTCAAGTAACGGACCCCACCAGGGTCCCACTGCCTGTCCAGGCCCCTTCTCCAAGGGCCAGGTGGAGAGCACAGGTGGCAGGAAGCGGCCCAGGGCCTAGTGAGGAGGATGGGGAGTCCATGGTTCAAGGTCTGCACTGTCGCCAGCTAGCTATGTGACCTTGGGCAAGCTGCCTCCCCTCTCTGAGCTACAGCAGCCTCTTCTCCACTACAAGGGGTCCTGGACTCCATGTCGGGGTGGGAAGGAGGGTCACAGAGAGAGCTTCCCGCTGGCAGGCCATGATGAGGCCAAGCGGCTTCTTCCAGCCTTGGCGAGCTGCAGGGCTGCCAGTCTGAGGCCAGTGACTCGCTGGGGAATGGCCAGGACAGGGGATGCTAAGGGGGACTTCTGGAGCAGACAGAGCCACCAGTGCCTGAGGATTCTGCCAGCCAGGGGTCTGCCTGCTCAGCCGGCTGGAGGCCTTCCCAGGTGGCCCACGCTCCTGGCATCTTCCTTCCTGTTGCTGGATTCTCACCTCTGCAGGCCTGTCTCTCCCTCTGCCTCTGGACGTCTCCTCTCCACTGCTTCAGACAGCCTGCCTGGCCTCCACCCTTTCTTCTCTCCCGGGGCTTCCTGCTGGACGCGGACTTGGCCCACCACTGCTGTCTGCTGCTGTTCTTCCTGCTCTCCCCAGCTGCCTCTGCACCTTCTCCGAGACCTGGCTCCACTTGAGGGAGACTCCTGGCCTAGGCCTCAGTCTTGCTCCACCTGGCTTGCCCTTCTGTTGGGGGGTGGGGGACATCCCAGGGGATCCCTGAGGGAATGATGTGCAAACGTGTGTGTACTGCTAGGAGGGCGGCTCCTGTGTGAGGTATCATGGGCTCAGGCCCCAGGGAGAAAGGCAGAGGAGGAGGTCCCATCCAGGCCTTCCACTTGCTGTGTGACTTTGGCCAAGTCACTTCCCTCTCTGAGCCTCARTTTTCTCATCTATACAATAAAGGCTCCTCCCCATGATAAGCTGTGAGGATTGAAAGGATAGGCTGGTGCTTTGCAAGGAAGAGCTTGTGAGTGACAAGATAGTCCCTGGGAAGACAGAAAAAGGAAACAGGATAGATGGAGTTAGATGTCTGTGAGGATGACCCGGTGAGGTATGGTTAGAATGAGCTGCTGCAGGAGGCCAAAGGCTCAGAAGCCTGGCCTGGGGTGACTCAGGTCGGAATTGCCTGTGGAAATGATGTTGGCTGGGATAGGCCCACAACAGCTCTGGGGGAAGGGACAGTAAAGACCCTAAGGCTTTGAGGGAAGTCTTGAACTTAGACCTGGATTCTAATGAAATGACTTGGTGTGAATCTTTGGGTCTCAGTTTCCCCATTCACACAGTGAAGGTGTTGAGTCAAGTAGCCAGACATCCCCACACCCCCCTACACCCCTTTGATATGATGCATCCCCCAAACTACACTTTGTGGGGGATAAGAAAAGACAGATACCAGCCGCAGGATTCAGATGGAAGCTGCCCAAGACTGGGGGCCGAGGACCACCCACTTCCTTTTTCCCAGTCCTATTTCTGGGCTCCCAGAGGGGCGAGGGGTGGTGGAGGCGGTGCCATGCTGGGCTGAGCCTGCAGTTTTCGTGAGCTCAGGGCTCGTCTCCATGGGAACAGGGGTGCCTTCTCAGTGAGCTCATTCTGCATGAACCACAAACTGAGGGGGCATGCCTGGGGAGCTGTAAAGGAGCTTAGTTCCTTCATGCCACATCCCCCCCAGAACAGGGTGAAGCCCCCTGCCCTGGACCCTTGCTCCCTTCAACCCTGGGGGGCCAGCCGTGGAGGAGCCCACCTTCCATCCTATGGCTGGGCTGAGCTCTTCTCCCAACTTTGTTTTCTCTCCTGTTCTCAATACACTCTGCCTCAAATCCATCTTGCTTCTTTCTTTATTCTCTGCTGCTGCTGGGTCATGGCTCCCTTGTTCCTGGTTCTGGCCTGGGCTGTGGAGTGGACTGGTCAGCCACTGTGTGTGAGTGGAGTGTGTCCTCGTGTGTTTGGATCTGCTAGGGCTACGTAGCTAGGTGCTACCTGGGTAGTGAAGGCGGCGGTCTTTTCCCCAGGTTAATTCACAGAGACCCAGACTCCCGTTCTGCTTCCTCCTTCCCTCAGAGTCTGACCAAAATGGCCGTTGAACAGGGGGGAAACATGCTGCCCCTTATGGCCCAGATTTATTTATTTATTTGTTTGTTTGTTTATTTATTTATTTACTGGTGCTGGGGATTGAACCTGGGACCTCGTGCACACTATGGAAGCTCTCTGCCACTGAGTCACATCTCCAGCCCTTGTTTGGGTTCTTGAAAAATGAAATTGAAATGCCTTTCACCAGAGCATTCRCTCTTCAGTTTCTACATGTCCCCTCCCCCTTCCTATTATCTAAATTTGGCGATTTCCCACATTCATCACCATCACCTCCTGGCTCCTCAAAACACCAAGTTTCTGCCCCTGCTGGAGAGGGAAGAACTGCTAGATGTGTACCTGGTTCCTGTGTGGCCTTGCACCACCCTTCCCATCTCTGGCCTCAGTTTTTCCTTCTGTGCAGATAGGAGTGTCAAAGGTGGGAGGGACCTCTGTTTGGTCTATGCTAGCCAGTGGCTGACTGCTCTGCCTTTACCCCAAACATGTGCTCTGTTGTGGGACTGGGGCAGGGTTGACTGGGTGCTACTCTCTGAATTTTCCACCTAGTGCATTTCCAAGGAGATCGGCATATATGGTGCATTTCTACTTTGGCAGAAAGTGAACAGTTCTGATTTTCTGCAGCCTTTCTGTATTGTGAACCCCCCCCCAACCCCCATGCAGAGTCAGTCCCTGGACATGGAGTTAGTATGAGGTCAGACCTGGCCGTCCTCCAGAGGCTGAGGAGCTGCTCACCACTACCCACAACATCCCACCCTCTGCTCGAGCTGCTGGCTTTCAGGGTCCTGGCTAATCCTGTTACTCCCTCTACTTGTTGGACCCCGTAATCCCCTGTGGCCACAAAAAGCAAAGACAACATTTTAGAGTTTTTGACAGTTATTGTAGCTCCCCCTGGCCCGGCCTCCTTTTCTGGTTGAAGAGCCTGTTCTTCTGCCTTGATGGCTCTTCTCGGGTCATGAGCTCTTGTCCCCACCTTCCTGCTCAGGAGGGCATGGTAGTTGGGTATAGGACATGCCCGAGCACACCCTGAAACTCTGGGTTGTGCTTCTACTCCTTCCTATGTAGCCAGGACCTCCCTGTAACCTCCTCTCCCTGTGACATGGGCTCTGCTTCCACAGGTGGCTCGATGCACACTTCCCGGGACGTGTCAGACATAGAGCTGCTCTCAGGGTCTCCAGCTCAAACTCTGCACAACTCYTGACCCTGAAAGAGGGTTCTCATGCTGAGTGGTAACCTCTCTATTCATGGTTGAAGCTTGGATGTCCTCAGGAGGTCTCTAAAGTCCAAGGCACCATGAAAAACTTCCTCTCCAGGCTGTTGCATGACGTTCCTCTTTAGGTTAAAGGGCTCTATTCCCAGAGTCCTTGTGTTTGGAGAACAGTATAATCTCTGCCTATTGCTTCCTTTTTCTGGGAGAAACTAGATTTTTCAATAGGCTGAAAGGATGACTGGCTTGACTGTGGCTGATTGCTGATTGGAGGAAAGAATGATCTTGTGGGTGGGTCTAGATTTRATTGGGTACGAGGCAACGAATGAATGGACTGACTAGCTAGGGACTCAGATGGATGGATGGCTGTTGGTGAATTTGGATTGGATTGCGAGCCCTAGTAGACTGGTTATTGCTGGAATCTGATTGGATCAACAGGATCATCGGTGCGATGGTTAGAAATATAAGCTTGGCATGGATTTCCAAGTCCTCCACTTCCAAGCCAGATAAAACTGGTGACACGGGAGGTAGCCTTTGAGCAGCAGAGCRTTACACATACATTTCAGGGGAGGGGGGATGGCAGAATATACTGGGCTGCTATCTACACCTCTGAGCTTCATTTTCATCATTAGGAAATTGGGTGTGACTATGCCCGCTACCTCCTCACCACTTTGTTGTGAGGAATCAACGAGAGATATAGGATGAGAAACAACCTTGCAGACAGGCAAGTCCTTGAACGGAGGAAACAGGTATGGCAGAGTGCATGGCAAAGTAGTGCTTTATAGCCTCAAGCATGTTCACCATCTGGAGTCACATTCCTCTCCTGGTGCCAGCAAAATGTCCAACAAAGGGGAATGTGCTGCCTAGGGAAGACCGACTGGCCTTTCATCTGTCAGTAGGAACTCCCTCCCATCTTAGGCATCAAGGAAAAATAAGGAGGTCATTATAGCAACATAGCAAATGGTTTGGGGCTGAGGGAGTCTTTCATTAAGTCCAACTTTAATAATAGTAGCTAACAGTTTTAAATTTAACTCTTTTTTTTGTGTGTGTGTGCCAGAAATTGAACCCAGGGCCTGGTGCACACTAGCTAAGTGCTGTATCACTGAGCCACATTCCAGCCCTTAAATTTAACTGTTTTGAAAAAGATAATATATGCACATAAAAAAATCTAAACTTCTATAGAAAGTAATACCTTAAAAAGCCTCGGACCCACTCCCCTGAGGCTGTATGCTCTGACTCTACTGATAAAACTATTTCCTAACAGGTAACCRTTTCAGTTAGTTTCATATGTACCTCTCCACTATCTCTTTATGGTAACTAACATCTATTGAGCACTTTCCTATAAGCAATATGCTAATACATGTAACTGCCTTTTACACCTCTCTTTCTCTCACAAGGACTCTACAGTGTACCATTTTACAGAGGAGGAAACTAAAGCCCAGAGGGAGCAAGAGCTTGCCAATAAATYAACAAGTCTGTCTCCAAAGCTAGCGTTCTTTAACCCTATCCCCTTGTCCTCCGTTTAAAAGCAGAGGCTGACCCCGATAGCGTGGGCTTTTAAAAACATTCTGGGCTGGGAGTTGGGTCACCTGGGTTTCATTGCAGGTTCTGCCTGACTTTGGTCGGTGCATTTCTACCCTTATAGAAAATACAAATCAGACTCAGTGCCTTCCAAAACCAGCACTAAAAACCTGCCCTCACCCTCTCTGTTTTCTCCCCAGGACCGCCAAGAGAGCCTGCCCACTTCCCCGCCCTGGACGCCCAGCGCGTCCCGGCCCCCCAGCAGCCTRGACGGCTGGGTGAGCCCAGGACCGTGGGAGCCGGGCCGCGGGAGCAGCATGGGAAGCCCCCCGCCGCTGCCGCCGCCGCCCATGTCTCCCTCGTGGAGCGAGCGTTCAGTATCTCCTTTGAGAACCGAGACAGAGGTGCGTCCGCCCAGCCGCCAGCTGCAAGCGCTCCTGGCGCGAAACATCATCAACGCGGCCCGGCGCAAGAGCGCCTCCCCGCGGCCAGGGGGCGCCGAGAGTCTGAGGCCCTTCTCTCCTCCCGGGGTGCCGCCGCCGCCGCCACCGCGCATGCGCTCGCCGCAGCCCACCCGCTCCAACCCAGGGGTAGCGAGGGGTGCGGCGTTCACGCCCATTCCGCCGAGCCCCTTGCTGGCCGGGCCCGGGTCCTGCGCCAGTCCCCGGAGCCCAGTGCCTGCGCCGCCTAGGCCCTTTCCCTACCGCCGCTCACCCACGGACTCCGACGTGTCCCTTGATTCCGAGGACTCTGGRGTTAAATCGCCTGGCATCCTCGGCTACAACATCTGTCCCCGAGGATGGAACGGTAGCCTGAGGCTCAAACGCGGCAGCCTCCCCACCGAGACCTCCTGCACCACCTAAAGCCCCACCCGGGAGGGCCCAGCAGTCAGAGAAGTCATCAGTGTTGGGGAATCCCCGCACCACGACCCCAACGGATCTGGCCTCATTGAATAGCCCCAGAGCTAAGTGGTCAGAAAAGAGCGTTTTGGGCTTGGAGATGGAGTAGGTACCCAAGCTTGGGTTTTAATCCATGCTGTATCATTCAGTGATATGACCCTGGGCTAGACCTTTCCTCCGTCTGACCCACAGCTTTCACATCTGTTTAATGCAGCTTTGGACAAGGCCATCGCCAAACATCTAAATTTCCCCTTCTTTCAAACACACACACACACACACACACACACACACACACACACACACACGTGCCTTGGAAGGGTTCAGTTGTGCATATGGACCCTTGGACTTGCTGCATTCCAGGGTTCCACACCCCTTCTTGGCTCTTTGCTCTCTGGAGCAAATAAGGGGTATATTCATAAGAACCTAGGCTATGTCCCCAGTCCAGGCCCTGACTTGACCACCCAGCTCCCTGGCACCAAGTCCCAGGCAGGAGCAGCTGTTTTCCATCACTTCTCRGACAAGCTCTATTTTTACCCAGTGACCTTTAGAGAGATCTCCCAAGCCAGCTCAAGGTGCCTTACTAGTTCCTCTGGAGAAAAGGAGCAGGAAGATTCTTCCTGGGTCTTGTCACACTACTTTCTCCATCCCAGGTCATCTCTTCTGCAGCCAGGACAATAATTTTCTGCAGTCTTGGGCCTCCAACCTGCCTGTCTTCTGGGCCTGTTCATGGCAGGTTCTGGTCTCAAAGCTGGGCTGAAGAGAGAAGAAGAAATAGAGTTACCCTCTGGCCTTACCTATTGCCCTCAGTTTGGAGCTGCCCATTTGGAAAGAGAGAGGCAAAAAGTACCTTGTTATAGAAAGTATGCAAGCTGCGGCCAGGATGCACAAAGGAGAGTCTAACAGGAGATAGATTGTCTCAGATCACCTCCAAGGGCTCTCCCAGTCCGCAGATGCGTTACATGGTATTAGGAAGTGGGAAGGGTGGTTGTCACAGATCGGCTGAGCTTGAATTCAGGGGCAGATGAGCTTAGGTAGTAAGTGAAGGATTAGGCCAGAGTCAGCCTAGGTTCTGGCCACTTAGGAAGTGCCTCCCTCTTCAGTTTTAGGCCCCA